TTGGTTCAGGATAGGTTAAACATGTTGCGTGTATTATCATCCTATGCATATGATGAGTAGCATTGCTATGCTCATTTCATATGATGCTAGATGTGTATGTTCAACATGTGTTCATGCTATGCCCATCTGATGGTGTTTTAGTGATATCATGTTCATCATTGTTTAACCTGTAACTGCCATGTTGTCGTCTGTCTTGATTGCTCTTGGTTGCTGTGAGCTTGCAAGTACATTCAATGTACTAACCTGGCGTGTCATGCCAGTTTGCAGGTCATGCCGGATTTGATTGCTTGTTTGTCGTGGATTCCTTTTTTGCGAGCTAGGATAAGCATTCAGCCAGAGTCCCTGTGGAGTGGAGTTCATCACTATCGTTGCTGTTCCGCTGCCAGTAGTTATTACGCTGCTTCGTGTTGTTCTGTCCTTGCATGGAGCAACCGTGGCAGGCGTAGTGTTGCCGTGCCGATGTGATCCCCTTGTACCCATATGGTTGTAATAAAGAGCTGATTTGTTCTATGCTAAGAAGTGTTGTATTCCAGAAGACTTCTCTCGATCTCTGGGCTGGAATACGGGGCGTTCTGGTTTCTTTGAGCCGGGATGCCACAGTATCAGTACCAAACCAAGTACAAATGCCACTAAAATTTTGGGGATTTTTCTGGACAAAAGAGATACTAGAAGCTTCGGGAGAGGGCCAGAAGACGAAGGAGGTGGCCACGAGCCACCAGGGCGCGCCCTAGTGCCTTGTGGGCGCACCTGTGCTCCAGTTGAGCTAATTATGCCTCTATAAATTCTCTAAAATCAGGAAACCAATAGTTAGCGCCACACGAAATAATTTTTCCACCGCCACAAGATTCTGTTCTCGAGAGATCCCATATGGAGACCTTTTCTGGCACTCTGCCGGTGGGGGGATCAACCATAGAGGGGCTCTACATCAACCTTGTTGTGCTTCCGATGATGTGTTAGTAGTTTATCACAGACCCACAGGTCCATAGCTAGTAGCTAGATGGCTTCTTCTCTCTCTTTGATCTGCAATAAAATGTTCACCTTGATGTTCCTGGAGTTCTGTTTGATGTAATCACTTTTTGTGGTGTGTTTGTTGGGATCTGATGAATTGTGAGTTTATGATCAGATTATCTAGGAGTACTATTTGAGTCTTCTTTGAACTATTTTATGCACAATTATGATTGCTTTGTATTTCTCTCCAATCTATTGATTTGGTTTGGCCAACTATTGATTTTTCTTGCAATGGGAGAGGTGCTTTGTAATGGGTGAATTCTTGTGGTGATCTATATCAAGTGATAGAAGAGGACAAGACACGAATTTGTATTGTTTCCATTAAGGATAAAAGGATGGGGTTTATTCATCTGTGAGTTTACTTTGTCTACACCATGTCATCTTGCTTAAGGCATTACTCCATTTTTTATGAACTTAATACTCTGTATGCATTCTGGACAGCAGTCGACGTCGGTGTCAAAATCGGGGATCTCGGGTAGGGGGTCCCGAGCTGTGGATCTTGGATCGGTGGGGAACAATGGACGAAGAACATGGTGTTTACCCAGGTTCGGGCCCTCTCGAAGAGGTAAAACCCTAGGTCCTTCTTGATTTTATTGAAGTATATAGGATGATTACAGAGTCGAACTACGATGAGATCAGATGAACTAAACCCTAAGCGAGTAGGATGATGGTTGTTGTTCTAGCCTATACGGAATAAACCCTCATGTTTATATAGACACCAGGGGTGCTAGGGTTTACACATGGTCGGTTACAAGGAAGGAATAAACATGATGATTCATGACTTGGAGGATACACCAAGGCATCAAAGATTTCCTGTCCGGATACGGGGTCACCTCATAGCTCAGCCTTCTAGAAGTTGTAGTGCGGCCCAACTTTCCAGCCCATAAGAATAGGCCAGTAGCCAGAGGACCCCTTAGTCCTAGACTCCCTTAGTAGTCCCCGAACTAGCCTCCAATGCTGGTGTTTATTAATTTCCGATGTCCTTGCACGTTCGAAGACTCTGGCTTGCGGGGCGAGTTCCTCCCCCCTCTTTTTGTCTGGCTGACCGATGTTCGGTCCCGATAACTTTCTCAATTCATCGAGTTGTTGTAGGTCCCACATCATCGATCCTTACATTGGAGTAATGTGATCTATTGACTCCCGTGCGCCTAAAGGAGGCAGACAGTCTAGCGGTCTTTTACAGAAATGCACCTTACGGGATAGTGTTAGGTCTATTAAATAGGCCATGAACACGACGGGTAGCTCATCCCAAATCAAGAAGCCAGGACGCTAGAAAATCTTCGAGAGAATGGCGAGTGCTCCTAGCTCCTCTTCATGCCCCATGGCCCTCTTCCTGGTGACTGGGCGAGCTTCTCAGTCTCTCATATTCAACTTAGCAAGCTCGAGACTCAAGGTTACCTTCCCGCATCGGATCTTGTCTCCACCTGTCCAGGACTAGTTTCCGCCCATGGCAAACCTTTCGTTGAGAATTCCCCTGCTCCTCGCAAGGAAGAGAGGGTATGTTTCGTGCCCTTCCTCTTACGAGGCATGGGCTTTCCCATTCATCCTTTCCTTAGGGGTCTTCCGGAATTCTATGGGATCCAGCTCTATCATCTCACATCCGGGTCCATTCTGCATATCTCGGGCTTTGTCGCCCTTTGCGAGATGTTCCTGGGCTGCGAAGCACATTTCAAGTTGTGGAGAAAATATTTCTGCCTCGTCCCCCGCACCCGGGGAGGGACCATAACCAAAATATGACGCATAGCTGGGACAGGGTATCCCACAGGGACCCCTAAGAAGGATTACGACGAGTGGACCTGGGAGTGGTTTTATATCGAGGATGTCCCCTTATTTGAGCCAGCTCAGAGGGGTTTGCCCGAATACTCAGACACTCCTCTAAGGAAGCAGTTTAATTGGCGGCCGAAGAACCCTTCTCAAGAGGAGAGTGCCGAAGTGCGGTGTGTGGCTGCTAAGGTGAAGCTGCTAGCACACAACAAGCTAACCATTATTGACGGGATGGCCGCTGCCATCAAACGATGCATGCAACCCCTTCGGTAGAGGATGGACCCCCTGTGGTGCTACAATGCGATAGGCAACGCAACCCATTACAAATGGCTGGGGCCGGACAACCAGGCAGCGATGGCAGCTATATTAGCCGACCTCTTCAAGGGAGAGGAAGAAGAATTTTCCCTTCTGAGGAACAGGGACAGCTATTCCAGCTATAATCCAATTGAATGGGTAAGTTCAACATTCATTTGCATGGTCGTGGCACTAAGTAAATGTACCACAGCCATGTGGGACACATGGGCCCACAAGTCAGGTTCAAAGGTTTCAGTTAACGGTCTAATGTCGGGCCGTACCAGAAAGCTCTCGGTAAAGAGCAAGTCATATTATTCATTTTGAAAACTTAACAAATAATTTTTTTCACTAACAACTGGGTCTAGTGGGTCCACCTGTCAGGTCAGAATGTATCTTTGATAGGTGTTTTACCGAGCGGGCTCTCTGACATAGATAACAGCAAGTCACAGAGCCATCAGTTACAAACGGACATGCCACATGGTTAGTCTTTGCCTTGTGGTGCTCTTGGCGGCTGTCTCGTTTGCCGATTGTGCTTTGTTCACCGTGATGTTGTGTCGGCAAAATGTTGTAGTTGTCGTGAACCCGCAGTTGCCGAGTGTAGCTCCCGGTGTATGTATGTTTGCCGAGTACCCGTGGATTCTCACCCGGTTAAGAGCCAGACACCCGGCGTATAAGGAAATTTCAGTAGCGACATAAGAGATGCGACAATTTGTGTGTGAGAGAAATGTTACCCATGAATACTCTTATCGGTGCTACGTTGAGACACTTTCTACTGGAACTAGCACAATGCCCGTGCGTTGCAACGGGGGTATAATAAATATTCTACTGATTCAACACCAATTGTATCAAACATATACCTTTAGCATCCTCGTCTTTTCCTTCATTCGTCCACTATCTCCACCTTTCCAATCCAAACATGTCTTGACATATGTTTTCCACTTGTTCTTCCGAAGAAAAGCACTATTGCATACTTATGTATCTTTTTTTAGGGTTTCATACAAAGGAATCAAGATGATGAAACTTTTATTAACCATGAGCCATCATTAGAAAATGTTTCATGGAAAGCTGAGGACAATGCAAGCCATTAGCATGTTAATTTCATCGAATCGCTTCATGAGCCAACAAAACTTTGCTAGAGCTTCGTCTCTTCAATAACCATGGCCTCTGTTGCCTTGCAAGGTTGATCATCCCTAGAAGCCAGTGTCCATATCCCATCAACATCATACTTCTTTGTCTTCTCTTTAAAATTTTCTGGTTTTTGTTTGAGAGGAAATAAATTGTGCCCAATATTTTCATTAGATTTATTATTCACAACGAAATTTTATGTCGTAATGCTAATCTGTACATCGGGTCCATGTACATCGGGTCCATTTATGGAGCCTGTACATGAGAACAATGCCATCTTGATGTGCGTCAAGGTAATTCTTCATCAAAAAAAATAATCCACCCAGATATTTCATTAGATACAACTAAAAAGCAGAATTCACGTTCTTTCCCTCTCTCAAATGCCATCCGCAAGGAAAAGCATCAACGGCAAGAACATCACGATAAACATTTAGTGTATCACAAATATAGCAAAGAATTAAGGTACTCGATTTCCATACTGCCAATTTAAGAACTTCAAGAAAACTCAGACCTAATTTGACTTGCACAGAATATTGACCAGATTCAAACTCAAATCTTGCACAGAATATTCTAATTCAAAGGATACAAAAAGTAAATGGACAAAATCTACCAAGAAGTGGTGCCACATGTGTCTACTGCCACTGCTGGAAATGCTCCAAGTCTGGTCAGTATCAGTGGGAATGCCTAGTTCTAAATAAGGGAACTGTAATTTGAACAACAGCAGGTCCCAGAACCACACCTCAAGCAACATGTCGTAGCCCATATAGCTCCTCGTCCTCTGTAGTGTAAAGATCCCAATCCCATTCTCACTAATCTATCCATGACAATGAACTGACATAAGTTTTAGCATGCCAAGGAAAGGAGATGGTAGCATTTGGATTTGCCAGGGTAGGGAGGAGCTCGAACAGAAAAAGGAGCCGGTGGAGATAGCTTAGCCTTGCATGCAAAAAATAACATGCCAGAAGGCTGGGAGGAGATCGTGCGCGGACGGCCAGGGTGTTTGCTCGAGCGAGCTGATGGCCGACAGCTGTGCTCGAGTGCAGACGGAGCGCTAAGCTCGAGTTTGATGGGAAGCAGCATAGCTGGGACAAATGCCTGCATCAGTAAAAAAAATGTAAAAACTTCTCATAATTGCAGTCATCCATGAGAACAAAATTTTGCTAATTCACGAAGGTCATAGTCAGGACCTTAGAGGCATTATTCTCGTCTTGTCAACGTGCTACATATCCATAGTCAGAACTCGTAAGTTGTAGTACTGTTATATGCTTGGACACGCATTTTTGAGATAGATTATTGCTTGTTTCATGGACTCATGGAATCAGAGTATCATAGTATCATTAGCAATGACAAGGAAGAGCTCCCAAATTAAGTAGAAGATTGCTTCATCCCTTCTTGAATGCCTTTTCAGAGAACCTGACAAACTAACAGGGCATTACTTAAGCCACCTAACATCCAAAATTATAGAACCAAAAAGATGCAGTATGCTCATTTCCTGATGATTTAAAATAGAACAGATGTGGCTATAATAACATAAGTAGGCTCCACTTTTGCCGAAACCACGATGTTGGGACAGGAATAAGAGTATCACTCAACTCAAGCAAGTGCCACGCAAAGCAACCAGTGAATATCATTTAAGCTACCTGATAATGACAAACTATGTTGTATGAATATGATGTTAGTACACTTCAGCCATCATTAAATAAGCAATGAGCATCATAATAGCAACTTCACGATTAGTATAGTGTCTGATAAGAATGCCAAATTAGAGGAACAATTCATAAGTGCTTTAGTTGGCAAAACAATTTATTTTGACTTGGATCCATCGATGATAAATCAAGATGTCGTGGAAAACGCTTTGCTGCAGATCAGACTGAAGGAAGCACCTGAGCTGGCCACTGAGTCTTCAGGGAGAGTAAGCGTCAGCGGCTCCACATCGTTGGAGAAATAATCTTCAAACCTATGTTACACCATTGATAAAAACAGTGGTGAGTAACATGAAACCTAAGATTCAGAGAGATCTATGAAGCCATAGTCAAAGGAAAATATTTCTGCTGCAATATTTTTGTAAAGCAAGTAAGTCGAGTCATGTAAAATGAAGCAGATGTACCTGGCTCTGTGATGCGCTATCCCATATAGTAGAACGCCCGTGCGTTGCTACGGGCTATAATACATAAATATGAATCGAACAAATGATTAAGATCATCTTTAAGGTCGAAACTCATTTCTTGCTCGTATGTCCGGATGGACATCAAACAGACGCCAAACAGGGGTGTCCAACAAGATGAAGACCAATGTTGTCCTAATTGTAGTAGAAATGTTTCCTTAGGAAAAAATCATGTAAAAAACCTATGAAAAATTCTTTGAATCAAAGAGGCTCTGAGTAGCAGAAAGAATGATATAGCGCAGAGTTTGTTTGGGACAACCAAAATAAATAGTACACCATCTAACGCCACTCTTTTTTGTATAACATGTTCTAAATAAATACTACTTCGTCCCACAATATAAGACGGAGGGAGGGAGTACCAACTAAATTCTAAATACAAGTACACATATACACACTATGGAGTACTAATGCATGATGCGAATTGAGATATTCTTGAGCTACCTTCATTTACATCAATTAAGAAAGCACCATACCTTTCGGTTGGTAAATGTAATTGCCATCTTACTGACGGGAAAAAACCATATGAAAATGCCTTTGATACTTAGTGGTAGGCCACCAGAGAACCTAGTGCTTCCCGGCCCCAAAATTCGACCTTGAGACTTCTCTTGCTACCAAAAGAGAAGCAAGCTTTGGCAGGAGCAGCGACAGAGGGTGCATTAGTCAACATCTTGCTGTTGAGGAAAATGAAACATGATTTATAAGAAGGAAGCAGCAACTGCAAATGTTGGCCAAAGAAAGCAAGGCATAGAAGGAACAACAACTACCTCTTCTTAGGATTGTTGGCATCTTAGTTTCCAAGAGTTGCTTAATCAGCGAGTGAGAATATAATAAATCTTAGCTAGGATGTTGCACAAAGGAGACAACACATAAAGGCAAGGACAGAGCACCCAGTCACACCTAGTTGCAGCTAAAGTCACTTCCTTTGCAAGCGTTGGCATCGCTTCAAAATAACACGAGGAAAGAAAAAATAATGGTAAGTCAAAGTGTATCCTTAGTAATGTACAAAAAAAAATTTGACAGACAACCAACGTCAAACAAAAGGTGCAAGTGAAGGAAGCATTTCCTGCTCAATTTATATGACATAGCAAAACAAAATATTTTGTAGTATGGGTAAGGTGAGAGAAGCTCATCATACAGAATAAAAAGGCATAGGAAATTTCATCCACACATAGCTATATGTAGAAATCGTTTTACGGCAGAAGTAAAAAGAAACAGAGGAAAATGCAAGGAGGGAACAAAACCATTTTGTGTGATTTTATGGTCAAAATATGGTCCTAACCATAGAAAAAACAAATAGAGCAATGGTTGATATATATTTCAAACTTACCTTCAACTTCCTCCTTATAAGTATCCACTCTCTGCTCGCAAAACAACAGCAATTCCTACAGATTTATGGTTGAGTAGTACCTCGGTAATCAGCTAGAAACTTTTCATCTAACTCATCCTTCTGGTTTGCCATTTCCTGAAAATTAAGAGATAGATTTAGGTGTTTATAAAAAAAATGCAAACTTGACTTTCCAAACTGAAGAAAAAGAAATAATAAAAATATATAGGCACCTTAATCAAACAATTGCTAAGAAAAAGAAAGGAAATTAGATTGTTATTCACTCTTAGGTACCTGCTATATCTTTTAGTTTGCATGTAGCAATATCATATGTTCCCTTTGGTTGTGTCACCGACAAAGAAAATAAAACATCGTCTCTGCTTATTGGAATTTCTGGGGTCAGACATCATAAGAGTCCATTTCTAAATTCAATGGGTCCTTGGGATTCAATTATTGCCTAGATTATTATTTATCAGAAGTCCTTGGCTAAAAGAAGAGCCCGGTGCACAATTGAGAAGACATCAGAATGTGTTGGAAAAACATTATTCAGATGATCCTGATGAACGAGCACCAACAGCCAGCATCCTTCATGTCACTCGATCTACGACCAGACAAGATAAAAAACAAACTTCATTCTCTTCCCAGCTCATCACTAAAGTGTGCACCTTGCCATAGCTCTTTGTAGGTGGAGTAGACTGTAAGTGCTGATGGTATTTACCAACAATGATGCTGCTGTTGAGCTCATCACCAGTATCTGCAAAAGAAATGGCAAAGGTACATATGTTTTTGCACGGAAAGGTAAATTGATGACTAAAAAACCATAAGCAACATGCATCAGGTAGTTGAAGGCAAGAAAAGGAAGGAATTCGATCGGCTCACATGAATACACCTTCGCTAAAACCAGCAAAAGAAAGACAATGAATGAATCCTAATGCTTACCGATCAGATGCATTACGCCAGCGAAGATATCAACAAAAAAAGAGATCTGCAGTTCATATTAATACAAAGAAAATATATTACAGGAAAACAGTGGTCCCATAGGTGGCTTGCTGACCATGTACACAGGCTGTCTAAAGTCATATTTCACATGAGCTTCCCTATAAGTTTCATGCAATACATAAGATACTGAGATCAGCTAACCACCAATGGGGGGATAGTTTTCTGCCTGAGGGTTGTGCTGTTGTGCATATCTCATAGGTGACTCACTTCCCCTGCTGGCTCTTCAGATTGTCATGCACTGGTTTGTTTGTTATCCCAGTTGGCCGCTGGTGCCACAAGAACTGTGTATCAAAGTCGTAAGGTTATATAAATGAAAAGGAATTAGTTTAGATAACTAAGTTAATATGTGTTTTTTATTAAAAAATTATGTACAGAAAGTCCAAATCAAATCCACATACAAGTTACTGATGATTAGAAGTAATACCGTTTAGCCGACTATGTACAGAAAGTCCAAATCAAATCCACATACAAGTCCAATGTAGTTTGTACTATTAATTAACACAACCAAGTTATGGGTAAAAAATGCAGTGTTAAATACTTTTGCATATCATCCATATAAAAAACAGAAAAATGCTAGCTCTAAAAACTGTTTAAATGGAACCGGCGTGTCAGAGCCCTGAGATAAACAGATCTCAAAAAAAACTCCATACGTTAACAGCTGTATGATCTAGCTAGGTGTGCAAATAGGTTTTAAAGAAACTCACAGGAACAATCTTGAAGAGCATGTGTAGAATTGTAGATAGTCAGTCAAATTAAAAACTGAGGTCGTAGCATGGAACAGTTGATCCGAAAGACCCGCCATTCCAATGCACAAACATTCAGATGCGTGTTCAGGAAGATGACAAAAAGCACGAACATGACATCTCCTAGCTAGCTAATGTACAATGATAGATCATACATACTTGGCTCTGGTGAAGAGGAAGGCAGCGGGGTAAGACCGATCATACATACATGCTGGAAGCCGAGTCAGGCAAACCGTCGAACGGCTGGGAGGCGGTCCTGACGGCCCTAGATTCAGGCCGGAGCACCTGAAGGCTGAAGCATGGCCGGTCACCGCGGACGGCACGGCCTGCCCTGGACTCGGATGGGGATCGGGCAGGTGCCGATCTGATCTTGCGTTGAGTACTGGAGGCCACACTCGGTCGTCCTGCAACCGCCGTCCGCGGCCGTGTCGACACAGACCCAAGCGCAGCGGTACTTGGGCTTGCCGATCTCGCGATCGATGACGCGCTGCATCACCACCACCAGCACACAGAGGAGGGTAAGGCATGGCTGGCGGAGGAGTCCCGAAGGGATCGCTGACGGTGAAGGTTCGGCGGCGCAGGATCAAGGGCGCTTGATGTGCGAGCGAGGGCGGCAGCGAAGGGATCCTGGATGGGAATCGAGGGCACTCTGAACCCCTCGCTCGCTTGTGGTGCGAGTCGTCGATTTTTTTTTGTAGGCTTTTTTCGTAGGTTTTTTTCTCATGGTTTTTTCGTTCTAGCGCTCGCTCCCTCCTTAGCTCTGATCGCCTCGCTCCTTCCTAACGTGGGTTTTTTTATCGATGGGATGGTTACTTGCGGGGGTGGGAGGTGGGAGTGACGATAAAAAAAACCGGACGAAAATGGTGGGACGAAAATAAAACCGAAACACAGACTACCAACTGAGACATTAGGAGTAGAAATACTCACACAAATATCGTGCTACACTACCATGTGTATTTTACAGGCCA